ATTTTAAAAAATACTAACTAGTTAATATTTTATTACTTGAAAAATATTTTATGTTTTATATTATAAAGTAATTAATTTATTCTTTTGTTTTTATATTTTGTTAATTCTTTTTATAAATATTTTATTTGAAATATTAAATAGAAATTATTAATGGAATAATCTATATTAATATGCTGTATTATATTAATATAATATACTAATATATTATATTTTTAATGTACATTAGTCGACATAATAGGAAAAATTGTATTTTTTTGGGTTATTTGGACCGATTTGGTCGACATTTCCGAAATATAGGAAATGTCGACCGACATAATGTAATTTTTATATTACCGTCCACTTTCATGTCGGTGAGCCTCGACATCAACATATGTTGGGCAACATTAGCGATATTTGGCGACATTTGAAACCATGATTTCTCATATATAGGATCAGTCTCTTTTAGTTTCTCCTTACTACCCGTGAGAAATCCTAATTTACCTCTACTGTAGACATGAATCTTTATAGATTTTTCCCAAGCTAAATAATTTGTTCCATTAAGTTTGATTGTAGTCACTCCTGTCAAAATGGAATCTACAAAACCAACCCTCGACACTGGGATCTACTTCATCTCACTTCCAGATTGCTCCATTGATCAAACAAAAATAAAAAAACAAGGCTTTCAAGCTTTATAGACCTAACTGAGGTCAGTTCAACCCTTAAAAATCCCAAAACTAAGGTTTCACTGTACCTGGCCTCCGGGGAGAAAGAGAGAAGAAGAAGCCGCTCCAACCAGAGCTTCCCAAACCTCTTCCAATTGCAACCACCCACTTTTGGAGATCAAAAGGAACCCTCCAAGCCTTGAGCGCATACCCAAGTAGTCTCTTTAACCTGTAACTGGAAACTCTCTAGTCGGCTTGGGTTTTGGGCAAAAAATTAGCAGCCCCACTTTCTTGCCAATCTATAGCTAGATTCTGACTATCCAAACCATCTACCAACTAGGCATACAAGTTCTCTGAATAATCAACAACTTATCTCTTCATATACTCTTCTAATCGAAAGGTGTATGGGAAAAGAAAAGAAAAAAATATAAAAGAATGAAGACCTGCTCTGATACCAAGATGTTATTCTAACCAATATAATAAGTAGTAAAAATAAAAAGGAAGAGAAGAAGAAGAAGACAACAAGAAGAAGAAGAGAGAAAGAAGATGGAGTTCGATAATAGCTCCTATTCACCCACTGGTCTTGAAAATAGAGACAACATATTGCTGTCTTTGTCTCTTAGAATCCCACCAATTTGCCAAGGTTCAACAATAACTCCTATCTATTTGCATCAATGTTTTAAAAACCGACCTAGAACTGGAACCGCTTTGGCCACCGGTTTCTGGGTTAACGGTTCAACCGTTCAGTTTGAATGGACGGCCCGTTCTGATTTAAAAAAATAATTAAAATAAAAAATGGCCAAAAACCGTTGACCGGGTTGACAGTTTGACTGCTCGGGTCAAGGGCCGCTGACCAAGTCAATGGTTTTGGGGTGAAATGGAACCGGTTTCTTGGACGGTTCTTGGGTCAACCGGTCCGACTGTCCAGTTTGATTTTCAAAACCTTGATTTGCATTAATCATAGATGAATTGACTAAACATATTCAAGAAGAAGTTCCATTGTGCATGTTTTTTTGCGGATGACATTGTTTTAATTGATGAAACTAATGAAGGATTAAATGCAAAATTAAGCTTATGGACAAATGCCCTATAAACAAGAGGTTTCAAAATAAGTAGGACTAAAGTAGAGTATATGACATGTAAATTTAATAATAATAGGTGCATAAATCAGGATACACTTACGATTGGAGACCAAGARATAACACAATGTGACCATTTTCGGTACCTTGGTTCAATAATTCATAACAAGGGAGAGAATGAGGGATTGATGAAACTAATGAAGGATTAAATGCAAAATTAAGCTTATGGACAAATGCCCTATAAACAAGAGGTTTCAAAATAAGTAGGACTAAAGTAGAGTATATGACATGTAAATTTAATAATAATAGGTGCATAAATCAGGATACACTTACGATTGGAGACCAAGAAATAACACAATGTGACCATTTTCGGTACCTTGGTTCAATAATTCATAACAAGGGAGAGAATGAGGACAATGTTACCCAAAGAATTAGTATAGGTTGGGCAAAATGAATGCATCTGGACTTTTGTGTGAAAGGAGAATACCACTTAGGTCTTGTTCATTTTTCAGATTCTGGAGGGGAAAGAAATGTGAGAGAGAGGGAGAGAGAGAGAGAGAAGACTAAGATGGTTTGGTTATGTGCATAGAAGACCACCAACAACTCCAATTAGAAGAAGTGATTTGTTACACATTAAGGGGCTAGAAGAGCTAGGGGTAGACCAAAAAGGACATGGATAGAAGTAGTAATAAATGATTTAAGCACTAATAATTTAACGGTGAATATGGCTTTAAATAGGACGGATTGGCAAAACAGAATTCATGTAGCCAACGCCATATAGCTGGTATAAGGCATGGATGATGGTGATGATAATGATGATGAAATAGAGGATACTATGATTTGGCCAGGGAAAAGTGAAAGAAGATGAAATTGTTTGGAAGCAGAAACCTAAAGGAAAGTTCATGGTTTCATTATTCTATGTTGCTCTTGCTATGGGGTGGTTCATTTGGTTGAAACTTCTTGGTTTTGGAGTGGCATGTTCTTCCTTATGTTGAGGTCTTTTTGTGATTCATTTTCCTTGATAAGATGCTTACTATTAGTTCCCTAAACCACATGCAAATGTGGCTTCAATATTATATTGTGTTCAAATTGATGCCAGTCTGTAAACCATTTTTGTTCATTTTGTCTCTGGGTCTTCCACCTTATGGGGAGTCCTTTCTTTCATTACTTAGGTCGCTTGGATTTTGTCTCCCTTGATCCATGAAGTAGATCTTTCTTGGTCCTTGCTCTAGAGTTTAGATGGAGTTTTTGGGGGGTTTCATTCTCTAGAACATAGTTTATTTTCTACTAGTTGGAAGGTATGGAATAAAAGGAATTGGAGGATTTCTGAAAGTCTTCTATTTTTTTGGTGGTTTGAGAATTAAAAAAAAAGGAATTGTAAGCTTTGTAAAGGCCTATGGTGCACCTATACACAATTGCAAATAACTTGTGATGGATTGGGTGTAGCATTAAAAGACTTTGGGAAAGATTCTTTTTTTATTGGGTGTAGGTAGAGGTGGGTTCTATCCGAGCCAAATATTTGACTATTCAATCTTTGGCTCAAAAAAAAAAAAAAAAGAGGCTCGAGTTTGGGCTTGAGCTCGATTCTAGCTAGAAACATGAGCTCGAATTTGGCTCGACTTGGATCGAGCTTAACAGTGAGCCAAGCTTCATATAAAAAATTTATAGATGTAAAATTTTATACATATAATAAAATTAAAAAGCTCGATTAGGCTTGCAAGCTTCATGAGTTGAGCTTCATTGGGCTCGAGCTTGGCTTAAACCCATCCGAATTATTTTTTCACAAGCCGAGCTCAAATAGCTTGTGAAAAGCTCGAATTGTATCCACCCCTAGGTGCAAGTGGACCTTGCCATTGGAGCTACATGGACTCTTCGACCCATCCACCTTTAGATGGCTGAAGAAGAGAGACAGAGTTCTCTGGAGGTGCAAAAGGGCAGCTTTGATTTGGACTTTATGGGAAGAAAGAAACACTAAAGTTTTCAAGAGAAAGAGAGAAGCATGGAAGTGATAGAAGAGTGTACAGTCTTGAGGGTGATACACTAGGTTAAAACCTTTGGACAATTTTCACAGTTCTCCTTTGATGATATCTGGAGGAATTTCGGTACAGTGGCAAAAAGTTTTCATCTAGGACAAACCTATTTCTTCTTGGACCCCTCCCAAAGAAGACTTGATTAAACTTCGATGGAAGCAGCCTAGGCAATCTAGGGCCTTAAGGAATAGGTGTCTTAAGAAACAAAGAGGGAGGGGTTATTGCATTGTTCTCAGGTATGGTTGGTATGGGAGATTCAGCTAGAGCTGAGTTTCTTGCTGCTCTTCAAGGTTTACAGCTAGCAAGACAGTTGAGCTTCAATAAACTGGTGATTGAAGGGGATTCTAAGTTGGCAATAGGTTGGTTGAAGAACCCAGAGACAATTTTATGGACTTTCAGGGAGGAGATGAAGAGGGGGGGGGGGGGTTGCACCTCACACCTCTCTTTGATCCATGCACTTCTTTTGTTTAATCCTTTAATCAAATTTCCTTGTTACTGATAAAAAATCTTTAGTGGGGAGGTCTTTTTAGGGTCTTTTGAAAGGCCTATGGGGTGCCTATTGCACAGAAGTACTTCTTAGGCATTGACATTGAAAGACCTCGGTGATTTTAACTGAAAATGTTTTGTATTTAACTAGTGCACTGTTTTGGTTGTAGAGGGGTCCTTACATTTGAAGATCTCTTGTTGATTTTGAGGCACTCTTGATTCATATTTATACATTAAGGAAATACTCTTCACAATATAGAAAATGCAAAGATTAGCAAGGCTTTATTATACTAAATCTTCTTTCACCAATAAGTTGCACTTCTTGTATACATGCATTTTCTTGCGGCCTTCTTATCTAATTAACTTTTCTGCTTTTATACTTGCATATTATGTCATATATCTTCTTTTAAAAAATTTTTTATGCCAATTATTATGTCGGTTTTTGTTTATTTAGGACCCTTATGGTTGCATGGCATTATCACAACCCTCCTATACTCTTCCTTTTCTTTTAAAGCAGTTTAAAGGATGTGGTAAAAGTGTTTTTTTTTTTTTTCTATTACTCTTTTATTCTAAGCTTAAACCACTGCACATAAGAATCCTTATTTAATCTTTCTTAGGCTGGGAAAACCATGTTGAAGCTGTTGAAGAAAGATATGATGTCATTGTGGTTGGTGGAGGACATGCAGGCTGTGAAGCTGCTCTTGCATCTGCTCGTCTGGGAGCAAAGACCCTTCTTCTTACACTAAACATTGATCGCATTGCATGGCAGGTCAATATTTTCAGCTCTGGTTAATGGTTCTTATCTTTGTTAGTTGATGTTTTCTGAGTTTTCTTTTGAGAAATAACAAAAGTTTACTGATATAGGTGATACACATCCTGTGCACATAGGATTCTCTTCCTCAGTTTCTTTATGAACTCTCTTCCACTGTTTTGACTTCTGACCTTCAGCTTGTAGACAGTCCAGTCCTAAAACTTATGGGGGTTCCAAGAACTAGTTGAAACTGAAAACAAAACGAGAAAAAAATAACTATCTTTCTAACTTCATCATCAGGACTAGAGTTCTGATCATGTATGAAAACTGTGAGGTAGGGCATGGTTGATAGTTGTAGCCATTTGTACGATCAGATGATGTTAATAAGTGAAGATTCTTCAGCACCTACCACTGTTAAAAGGAGTAATGGCCTTATTGTAATTGAACTTCAATATTGTTGTTACTGGCTTCTTTCCTGTTATTTGTAGAGAACCAATGTTCAAGCTATTCGAATTGAATCATCTTTCTTTCTTTCTTGTTCTTTTTTTTTTCTGGGTGAGGAGTTTTATATTAGATTCTGAAATATGTTTTGTGATATGAAAGAGACATTACATGTAACCATTGTTTTTAACACAATACAGCCTTGCAATCCAGCAGTGGGGGGACCTGCAAAGTCACAACTGGTACATGAAGTAGATGCACTTGGTGGTGAAATTGGGAAAATTGCTGACAGGTGACATTCAAGAACCACTGAATTTTGGCTCAAAGTTATTTTGTTGTTCTTGTCACCACTATTTATTCTCTTGCTAACGTCCGTTCAGTGTTTTGACACAATCCCTGTTGCTTTTTTTTACCTAGCTTTTCATTAGCCAAGTTTTGATTGTCCTCAATAAAGGTAGTTGTATATCTAGGTCAATTTCTTCCATGTAAATCAGTTATGAGGTGTGAAATTTTGTTTGCTGTCATGTAAGTTGAGATTCTAAATCCCAGTTCCAGCATTTATATTGGTCCCTTCCAAAATCCTTTTAAAAAAATTCTCATCTTATGAAATGCTGGATAGTTTGAAATTGTTCAGGATTTTTTTTTGTCTGATTTGACTTCCAGCATAGTTAATGCTTGACAATGATCTGGCATTTAAAAAAGCGCTATTACTTTGATGTAAACTCACTCTGTTCACTTGTCAAGTCTAGGATTAGACTGTTGGTTAGTTTTTGTATAGAATTTGTTATGGTGATTTTTCCCCAGGTAGGGGTCCTTTTGAAGTTGCTATTGCTTGCCCTTTGTTTGGCCTCTATCCAGTATACCTTTCATCCTTTTTAGATTTAATACATTTGAACTTTGTTATAGAAAATTTGGAGACTTGTATTTTTGGTGTTTGCAAATAGGTCTACTGGAATAAACAGAATGTTGGAGGATTATGTCTAACAGGTATGACAGAAAAATAGAGTGCTGGAGAACAATGCAGGAAATGAAAAAATAAAAAAGATGTTGAAATTTAGAAACTTGGTGGTTGAAGGGGACTCCAAAGTAGTGGTTTGCTGGATTTGCTGGATGACAAACAGCAGACAAACAATGTAGCAGCATGGATAAGTTATTAAGGAGATTAATTGATTGACAAGGGAGTAAGGCACAAGTATTCTGTGGATGCAGTGATCGGAAAATGCCATGGCTGGTTCTTCAGCTAAACAAGGAGTATACAGGGAACATTTATTTTGGGCTAAGATACAATTTAATAAATTCTTGGGATAAGTGGTTGGTTTGGTTGACGTGTTAGAGCATGAAATATTGTAAATGCACTATTTTTTCTATGAATCAGCAATAAAAGTTTTGTTATTTCATTAAGAAAAGAACAATAAAGGTAAAGATATGGTGGAAGCCTAATTACTAAATGATGCAAAGATACCAAAAAAATGCATTGGTTGGAAAAGAAAAGAGTTAAAATCAGTGAATATGCCATGGCAAAGGAAATGCTACCCATCATGAACCAGGTATAAAGAAGGTGCCTGAGATACAGCAATGAAACCCTAGAAACAGAACTGTTATATGAGTATTCCTTCCTTTGATCTGATTAAAATGGGCCCATGACTATGAGATAGATTACTATGCTTCTCCCTCTACTCTAGTCAAGATGGGTCCATGACTTTGAGATAGGTTTTTATGCTTCTTTGGCACTAGGACTAATAATTCACCCTTTTTCGATAGGTAAGTTTTTAACCAGGTTAGTATGTTTATTGCTTGTACGAGATATAATCCTTGATGTTGCCCTGTTATCTGGAATACATCACATTTTATTGAAAACCGTTATGTTATAACATTGTGGATGGTCAATTGTTGTATTCCTTTTAACCAGGTTAGTATCATGCTATAACAATGATACCGGGCAGATTATGTATTTCCCCCCATGTTTGTGTTTTGTCTCAGTGAGGGAGAAACTTCCCATCACACCTTTCTCCTTTGTCAGGAAAGAAGAAAAATCTGGTATCATTTTCTCAATCTTATTGGTTTTAATAGGGTTGCTCCTGCACACATTTTAGAGTTTATTTAGCAATGGAATGGCAAGGTCTTGGCAAAAGGGGTAAGATTTATTGGATCATTGCTTTGCATGCAGTGTTGTGGGGTGTGTGGGAAGAAAGAAATAACCACATTTTTGAGAACAAGGCTAGATCCCCTTGAGGAGTTGTTTGCCCATATTACTTTTCTTTGTGATTCATGGGCGGCAAATGCTGTGGAATTTCAAGGTTTTTCATTGTGAGACTTGCAAAGTAGTCTAGTCTAGTAAACAACTTTAAACTTTGAT